GAATCACTAATCAGCATTGATCATCATCAATTATCATTATCAACCATTATTAACCATAGCACCATGTAAGAAATAACTGCATGGTATTTGATATAATCATAACATAACATTAACATAACCATTATTAACCATTGTTAAGCATAATTATTAATCATCATTACTTGGTGGTTCATCCCACTTAGCAAGTGGCTTATAAGCCGACACGTTTAGAAGTATAGGTGGGTTAACCCTGGGACAATAATCCACTTACTAACTGGGATGACCAAGTAAAAATGGAGTTCTGAACGGGACATTTTTAAACTAAATGGTTGTTTATAGCTGGGATATTAGTATGGAATATTTCTATAGCTCTGGGCTATTAGAACGTTTTGGAAGCTATGAGAATATCATGGTGGGATATGATGATGGGATATGATGATGGGATTGAATACAGGGATTTACCCTGTGGTAATGACTAGCAGTTTGCGAACTGGAAAATGGCCATAGAAATAGTTGATTTACCCATTAAAAATGGTGGCTTTTCATGGTTATGTAAAAGTTTATCATAGGGTAAACCTCCATTTTCCTATGGTTTTCCTATGGAGATCTTTTTTCTTGTGGGAGATTGGGGGATGTGAATGGGAATTCTTAATGCGAGTTCATAGTGAAACATGATGAACTGTACTAGTGGATATAGCTATGGAAAATCACCATGGATCCATAGGAAAACCATCAGAAAATGGAGGTTTACCCTCTGGTAATGACTAACATAGCTATGGAAAATTGCCATTTATAGTTGATTCGCCTATTAAAAATGGTGGATTTATGTTAAGTTACCAGAGGGTAATGGGTAAATTAGCCATTTCTATGGCCATTTTCAAGTTCGCGAACTGTTAGTTTACCAGAGGGTATAACCCCATATATACTTTATTATCTTCAGACAAACTCATTTGACCACTTACACCGTAGGCATCAGTCCTAAGTGGAATTCGGATGACTGAACCTCTTGTAATTTCAAATGACTATTGAAAATCATCAATAATCATCATATTTAATAGGTAAAGAATCTATAAATGGGTCACTTTCCATAGCTATATTCAATTACCCTTTGGTAAACTAACAGTTTGCTTTGGAAAATCACCATGTTTAAGTTCACCAGTTCAACTATAAATAGGCCATTTTCCAGTTCGCAAACTCTTAGTTTACTGGAGGGTACCATAGGCGAAATCTCTCGGCCCGGGGAATTAACAACGGGTGTGAAAACCCCCGGCGGCCTGGGCCGGGGTGGCCATGGGGGAGTGATTTTTGCTCCAAAAATGGTCAAACATACTATCTTCAACATGTTTTCATCACCATTATTGTTCTCATTTCTATTTGTCAAAAATGATGATATATACTATATATATATATTTATACTATATATATATTTATACTATATATATATATATTTATACTATATATATATATACACACTATATCACTATATATATATATATTTACTATATATATATACACTATATCACTATATATATATATATTTACTATATATATAATATATATATATATATGTATACTATATATATATTATACTATATATATACACACTATATATTTAGCATTTTTGATGATTAAATCTGCATGAAATTTGTTGGTCCATTTCCGGTGAAATCCAAAGGTTTGGCTGATGAATTCCTCTCAAGTTTTGGTCAAAAAGATGCACATCATTTGTTGGTCAGGAATGATAATAATAAAAAAACATAATAGAAATAGTAATAGTAGATAGTAGTGATGATAATAACCATCAAGTTCATTTGATCCCTAACTCAGCTTCTTTTTTTTTCCAGCCCTGCAGCTGGCACTGCCGTGGTAGGAGCTGGTGCAAGTGCAAAGAGGCCTCCCTGGATGTTCGCTCCAGCAAGTCGCCTTACGTCATGGATTTGACGAGCTAAGCAGGTGGGGCCTGAAACGTGGGGCTCCGAAGGTGCAAAGATTTCCCGTGTGAAACGTGTTACAAAATCTAGTTGGATTGGAGAAAGGCCATAAAAATTGAGGAAAAGGTGATATGTTTCAATTCAAATAATGGTGTTGATATTTCGAATATCAGGATTCCGAAATAGCGATGAGCATAGCCGCATAGCCCATATACCATGTTTGGCCACAATTTGAGGCAAGGGACATGGTGGGCACCATGTTTAAGGAGCAACATGGAACAACTATTATGATTTTTGATGAATAGATATGAATATTTTGACTCATACCCATATGATCATATGACTTTTCCCATGAAGTTGTTCTTGGTCAATCTACCCTGGGTGGAACATGGTGGACGGGCGGCCAGGCAGATGAGTTGGCTGGTCGCTGCCAAATGTGGCAGAATGTTTCAAAGCTTGCACAGGCAGGCGCACAGGACCACACGCGTCCTGACTACAGAAACGCAGGGAGCAGCACCGCTCACCCAGCCCAGCTGTGTCATGGTTTGAAAGGGTGAACCACGGAAAACGCGATGCAAAAGTTGTGGAAGTCTAAAGCCTGTTGATTGATGATTATACTACCCTCTGGTAAACTAACATAACTATGGAAAATCACAGTCTTTAATAGGTAAAGCAACTATAAATGGGCCATGTTCAATAGCTATGTTAGTCATTACCAGAGGGTAGGTTACATATTGGGGACAATCACGATCCATTAGGGAAATCCCTAATTATCAACTAGCAGAATGACATGACACAGGGGGTTTCGAACACTGCTCCAATGTCATTGTTTGAAAAAACTTGACACATCAATCAAATTATCCCAGGAAGTTGCACTGCAGACGGCAAGCAACTGCACAGGAATGAGGCTTCGCAGAGGGTAGAATTTTCTCTACCACCAAGCCTTCACAAGAGGCGAGAAGAAAGGATACGCTACTTCCTTTGAAGTTCACAAACAGAAGAGCCTGCTTGTAGATTCTGATTTTAGTCGCTGAGATATCGTATTCCAGATGCTTAGGATGTACCAATGTTCAGATATCATGGTTTGATAGTTAACGAAATCCTGGGTATTTCCAGATGTTTCCCCAGGATTTTCAACCCTGAAATGAACACTAAACATACTATCCATAAGAATATCAGATTTCTTCGATTTCATAAATGATGACACATAAGACGTGTATGGGAGTTTCCTAGAATAGGGGTACCCCCAGTTCTCATCCATTTATAGATGGATGTTCCCTTATAAACCATCCAGCTATTGGGTATCCCCATTTATGGAAACCCACATATAAATATCCCAGGATACGTTTAACTTATATGAAATCGCCATATTTTCCGCACAGCCAGCCGAACTCGCCATGCTTCTCACCTCAGCGAACTCCATGAGGAGGAAAATGACTGCTTTTTTGTGATGTCCATAAGAAGGTGAATGTGCTTTCCACCCTATATTTCTATGTGATATATATATATAGATTTCCATAAATCCGCAAGTACATCCCCAATATCAAACATATATGTGAATCAGATGTTATTTATCTTTCAACGTTGTGATGTGATCATTAATCTGAGTTAGATTCGTAATCTATGACAGAGGCAGCTTGGTGAAACAACACGATTTTTCTCCGGTGAGTTAAGTCATCAAAAAAAGAGGGACGATTTTCAGGTTTACCTTCTGGTTATGTCAAATAGCTATTGAAAATGACCATTGAAAAAGTGGATTTTCCCATTAAACATGGTGGATCTTTCCATAGTTATGTAAACGTTTACCAGAGGGTAACTCTGAAAATAAATGGATTTATAGCTGATATTGATGATAGCTGTTTAAGTTGATTAAAAAAAACTTCAATAACTGTTGGGTTCTTACTTTGTCGTTTCAATTGGTTTAGATATTAATTTTACTATCAATATCATCAGTACACCCCGATTCGGTCGGTTGCATTCCCACGAAATTTTTGATATAGAATAGGAGGATAATCAGCCAGTATCCCGAATGATATCAAAATACAACACATCTTATTACTACCATCATATATACCCCATTTGGGTTGGTGATATCCCAATTAAACTATTGGTTGGTCTTATCGTTAACTTACTATACTGATATGATTGTTACTACTGTTTTTACCATAAGTATAGTTGATTGTTACCAACCCAATGGTATATTAAAAACTAACTTACTATACCATTGGGTAACGGTGACATCCACAAAATTTACATCCTCAGTTGTGCTTAAAACTCGCTTCTATAGAAAGCTCCAATGTTTGCACCGCTGTGCCGAAATATCTCCATATACCATCTGGTTATGACTCACAGTTCGCCATGGAAAGATCCACCATTTTTAATAGGTAAACCATCTATTTCTATGGGCCATCTATACCATGGCTATGTTAAATAACCAGATGGTAATTGGTTATCACTATCATTTTTTGTATGATTATTCGACAATCGTTTTTTTTAGTATTACAATATATTACAATGCTTCTGATGCTATAAAAGTACTATTGGTATTAGTACTGTGGATGGAAAAAATACTGCACTAGTTGGTAGATGGCTTGTCCTGTTATATTCCCATGAATTTTACAGTGTTTCACAGTTACCAATAGTTACCAACTGATGCAGGATTTCGCAACTATCCACAGTATTATTATTACCCCCACGACATACTATTTCTGTGATTATAGATAGAATAAATTACACTATATGTTTATATTATACTAATATTTTTGTTGATTATACCTACTACGTTATAGCGTTATACTAAAAACTATTATACACATATACAAACTAATGTTATAGATATTCAAAATTAAAGACATACTAATATCTATATATCTATCTATATATGTGCAAATACGATTACCCTCTGGTAAACATTTACATAACTATGGAAAGATCCACCATTTTATTATTGGGTGAATCAACTATTTCTATGACCATTTTCCAGTTCGCAAAGTGTTAGTTTACCAGAGGGTAAACCTCCATTTTCCTCTGGTTTTCCTATGGGTTTTCCTATGGATCCCATGGTTTTAGCTTCAAAAAATGTCCATCTCTAGGTGGTCACCCAAGATGCCTGGCATGCCCTTGTAGCCTGGTACGACAAGTGTGGCCCGGCCTTGCCTCGCAAGGCGCGCGCAGCGCGCGCGCTTTCGGTTTCGGGACGAAGAAAGGGACAGGTTTAGCCAACAAAAACCATGGGATCCATAGGAAAACTATAGGAAAACCCATAGGAAAACCATAGGAAAACCATAGGAAAATGGAGGTTTACCCTCTGGTAAACTAACATAACTATGGAAAATGGCCATTGAAATAGTTGATTTTCCCATTTAAAAGAATGTGATTTTCTATAGTTTTTTGTATGTTTACCAGAGGGTATGCCATGTTTACTCGGACTTTTTCCGATTTTTGTCGGAGTTATGCCATGTTTTCGGAGTTCGGAATCATGTCTGGGAGTTCATTTCTGTACATTGTTCGGATTAAGGTATACATTATTGATACGACTTGAATGGGTTCAACGAGATTTTAACCACCATTTAATGCGGATGTAATTGGTGAAGTCCGAATTTCATTGAACAGATGAATAATTGTGGTCTACCACCAATTTAGCACAGAATTTCGGAATCGGATTTTAGCATCCGCTGCATTTTGCTGCCGATTTTCACATCAATTTCAAGATGGAAAGTCATTTACCATGAGTTTTTACACTATTTTAGTAGGATGATATTTCATCCATTTCACCATTGTTTCAGTAGGATTGAATAAGATTTACCTTCATATTTCTGCTTGTTTCTTTGGATTTTCCAATCAGTTCGAATCTTTTAGTCGGATTTTCTAGATATTTCCAGTTTTTGAGTAGGATTTTGTAGATTTATCATACCCTCCGGTAAACGTTTACATAACTATGGCAAGATCCACCATTTTAAAGCTGGGTAAATCCACTATTTCGACTGGGCCATTTTCAATAGCTTTTTGTATGTTTACCAGAGGGTAAACCTCCATTTTCCTATGGTTTTCCTGTGGTTTTTCGATGGTTTTCCTATGGTTTTCCTATGGATCCATGGTGATTTATCATCAGTTCACCCTGGTTTAAGCGTCGCGTTTCACCATGCACCAGGTCATTGAGATCGATGGACACCTGGAGCTGGAGATGTATCCCTTGGCCTTGCATATCAGTCGCACGGATCAGGCGATGGGGGAATGTCATTGAGTATATATATATATATTTATATTTATATTATATACATATAGGTAAATATAGTACCTAGGTAAATTGTATATATATATATGTATTATATTATATATAGGTAGTACCATAATATATAATTTTTATATGGGTAAATTCTATGTATTTTATATATATATATATATATATTATATTATGGTAGTGATATAATGGTAATATATGGGAATAAATGGTAATATATGGGAATATATGGTAATATATATTTGGTTGATGGTTTGGAACATTATTTTTTATTTTCCATTTCATACATGGGATAATCCTTCCTATTGACTAATATTTTTCAAGATGGTTAAAACCACCAACCAGTATATATATGTATATATGGGTGAGTTATAAGGACCTCACTGCGACCGAGCCCTGGAATCATGGTTAGTAAGGGACATCATCCCCAAATGGCCTTAATTCAGGTTTGCCGGGGTAAGGCTGGGGTCCGCAAGAGAAGTGGTGCGGCCTTAATTCAGGTTAGTGAAATATTATAATTTACCCAGATATATCAATCATTATGATTAATAGATCTGTATTATTAATATTGGTATCAATAATATCACATCAATGATTATTACTTATATCAATGATATCATTGATAATGTAGATTTATTGTATATGGTATATCATCATCAATTCCTGGGATATAATGTGCTATCACCAACAAGGATAGGAATATTTCCCAGTAGTTAAACAATGATCTATCTTTTAATCTTTGTATATCAATGATTATTGTGATAGTAGTATTTATTTAAGATACTATTTTGATATTTGTATATATATTAATATTTAATATGTGTATATATTAGTATATCAATGATAGGGTTTCTAGACACACTGACATGTGGGGATGTCTCAAATTGGGGAATCCCCAAGTCATCATGGGTCAATGCTAAAATGGTCTATTGACTTGGATGACTTGGGGTAACCCCATGACATGGGAAACTTCCAGATATCTTAATATTGGTATATACCTTCTAAATGGGTATCCCATCTATTTTAATAACAATCCTCTATTGTCCATGATTATGGTTATTCATTGATTATCCGTGATTATGGTTACCCTCCAGTAAATAAACATAGATCCTGGCAGGGGTTGCAAGATTAGTACTAAAAATGGGTGATTTTCAGGGTCTATGTTCATTTACCAGATGGTATTAATGGGACAATGAATATAGAAATAAGATCATATATTCCATGGTAAGTATGAGTTGTTTGAAATAGTATGATTTTGTTGGCTCAAGATGTTGGACGGTGTTGGACGGTGATCACTGGAAAAATGACAAGTTATATGATATATGGTGTATGTATATATATATATTATATACATACACATGCAATCATTCATATGAAATATATATATATATAACTATATGACATATGACATTTTGCCAATACACATATGACGCATAACATATGCTTATGTATAAATACACATATATGTATATATATATATATATGTATATATATATATATGTATATATATATATATATGTATATATATATATATATGTATATGTATATGTATATGTACACAAATATGTATAAATGTATATGTATATGTATATGTATATGTATATGTGTATGTATATGTATATGTATATGTATATGTATATGTATATGTATATGTATATGTATATGTATATGTATATGTATATGTATATGTATATGTATATGTATATGTATGTATATATATATAAGTATATGGTGGTTTCCTAAAATAGGGCTACCCCCAGTTCTCATCCATAACATATCTTTCAGTGGCTACCAGGTCTACCAGGTCATCTACTAAAGCCGGACCTGCATCAGGACGGCCAGATTATGCTGTTAGAGAAGACCCTAGAGATCAGCAGGACCGCCCTGGCCAGCGAGGCAAAACAGGCCATTTCGCTGGCTTTCGGAGGAAGTTGGGATTTTCATGGGGAAAATCCATGGGTTTTTCAGCCAGAAATATGTGGAAAAGGATGGTTTATAGGCATTTATTTCTTACTGGTGCTTCGTAGGGAATTGTATGGGAATGGGGGAATGGGATTAATATTAATAGTTATTGTGGATCATTCCTTCATGCCCTACTAAGCACAAGTAAGATTTTAAGCCAGTATCTGTTTGAAATGGGTTTTAAGAGGGAAACGGATGGGGTTTCTAGTCAAGAATTATGGATTTATCAGGGCTTATTGGGATTTCATAGAGATTCTAGATGGATTGACTGGGGATTTACTGTATTGGGATTTCGTCGAACATGACAACTTAGGGAAAGTATGTAATTTCTTGAAGAACCGAAAGTCACTTACCAGTGGAAATATGTCTTTTCCCAGTAACATTTCTTAGGGAAAGCTGCTGCATTTTTTGTGAAAATCATTTCTTGGGAAAGTATCATGTTGAAATGGCCCATGTTTCTTAGCAATGTCCAGTTCATCTGCTGGAATCTCCGTGATCGACCGTGAAGAAAACCTAAATCTGGGAATCCTCACCTGGCAGGTGGGGAAAAAAAGACGATTATTCTAGGATAATGTCAACCCCGGATTTTGCTAAACCATGGTTTATTAATTCGGGGGGTACTCCCCAAATAGTCATTTCATCTCATACTTTTTTATGGTATCCCCCCCAATTAAAGAACCGTTTGGGGTTTATTAATCCAGGGTTGACATTAATATGGGAAATGGAAGGAGCCATTTATGGGATAAGTCCAGTAAAACCATCTCCAGTGGTGATTTTATGGCTGATGGCGATTCAACCAACAACAGGGATTTAAGCAATAAATGGATATACAGTAACGAATATGAATGAAGTGGGGATTGGGTCAAAAACTATTCTTACCATATGTTTGGGAATAAACATCCATTAGCCAGCTATGACTTCAGGTACCATCCGGGTCCCAGGGTTTTGACTCGTAGCCAAGTGAATTTGATTCATGAATATATTGGATATGAAGTTATGCAAAAATCATCTAGTTGCCTTACAATTATTCCTATGGTATCCCTATGTTGTGTGTTTTTTTCGGGATTAACTATATATCTATATTTTTACCTATATCCCAGGATAATATATTGGATATATAGATATAGATATATTATGGGATACTCACGGTATATTATGGGATTACTATAATCCCTAATATAAACCAATTACAACTGGCTGATTCTGGTGGTTTTACTTCAGGCCGCCTGCGCTCTACACGGCATCGATGGGGACTGGGTGCGCAAGATCCATGGGGGTTCGGCGGGTTAAACGGGAAGAATTTACCAACCATGGGATATGATGGGCATCGAAACATGCAATGGGGGATCAATAGATATAATTATATATATATATAAAATGATTACATATATAATCATATATATATATATATATATATTTGTATTCTTGATAGAAGGTGGTGCCCTACAAAATGGGGTTTTATCCTAGCAACACGGGGATTCATAGTTGATTTATGTTAGCTAAGGTTGTTTAGTTCACCAATATTTCACGTTGGCCTTACGCTGATTTATCTCAGCTAGTTCGCTCAACTAACATGACTAGGGGGGCATCACCCTCTATCAAGAAACGGGATCGATTGCAAAATGCTCTAATTTTGGTGTGTCATACCCTCTGGTGAACTAACATAGCAATGGAAAATGGCTATTTATAGTGGATTTTCCCATTCAAAATGGTGATTTTCCATTGCTATGTTAGTTCACCAGAGGGTATCCATTTTTGTGAGCAAGTTCAACAACCAGGAAAGGGTGACGTGATCAACAAAAAGCGGATGTACAATCAATAAATGAGGGTTATTTTGAACAACCACGAAAGAGGGATTTCCTGTAGCCAGCAAAACAACTGGGGGTAAAGAACAAGGACATTTCAAAGATCTTGGAATGGGCCAACAGATCAGACTTAAACATCTGGGTTTAGGGTCAGAAAAATGAAAAATGGCCCGGGGCCCAGGCCTTTGAAAACCAATTTTCACCCAGACCCAAGTGACCATGCTGGATCCAATTGATAGATCAAGCATATGGCATATGGTTTCCGGAACTGGATAGATGGCCTTTTTGGATTGGTGGTTTTGACACCCATGGCCTACAGGTAGGGGGCAAGCGCCGCGCCACAAGCGCCCCTCTTTTTAAAAATGGAAAAATAGATTTTCCCAAAACCAAATCCATTGAGATGAGGATAGAAAAAACATGGGATCTTTACGAGGGATTTGACCATGGCGATTTGAAGCGACGTGAGCAAATCAAAGGTATACATCCGGTCATAGGACATGGTCCATGAAAATTGGGGTGAAAACCAGAGAATCCCAATGTAGCTGTGCATCATTTTCCGGATGAAACTTGCCGGAAGATCATATTGTTGATTGACAATCCCAATTATAGAGCATGTATGTTCAGTATATCCCATATTGTTGATGATTTTCCCTTTTTTTCAGATATCACCAAGTGATTTTCCAGATCAATAGCTGGGACAACTCTAACCCCAGGTGCTGTGTCACAGAATCCATCAAGATCTAGAGTTTGAGGAGGTCGATGAAAGTCAGCGCGCTCAGAATCTGGTGGGGCTTTTGGATGTTGATAGGTTTGGACCCTTGCACCCAGCCATCCTTTACATATCTTCTTCTGGGGAAATCCAATAAGTATAGATGGCTAACTATCCCAGGTATCTTGGTGTAAAGTATCTAGATTATTTTCTTTGATATCGGGGAATTCCAAAAAGTATGGATGGGGAAAGTCATCTGAGGTACGGCGAAAATACATTTAGATCATTTAGATCAATTTAGTAGGGAGGGGTCACAAATGTGTTTGGAACGGCAGTGTTTCAATGCGGACAGCGACGGGGAGGGAACCCCTTCCGAGCGACAAGCTAAACGGGTGGATTTTCCATTCTTGAAGCATCAGTATGGTTGGCAACCCCCCATTAGAACCCGTATATAATGTTAGCAAAGCAATGTCATAAACCACCCATATGTTAATACTTTATAGCACCCATAAAAATGGTAAATTTCGGGCTGGTAAAAAAATAACTATTCCTTTACCAACATGAATCCTCACATTTGATCACCATAGGTCAGACTTTCCACCAGCGATCACTGTCTGCCACTGGCCGCGCTGAAGGTCAGACACTTCATGCGCTGCATTTCTTGGATGGTCACCAGTTGCTTGGCCAGGAAGGATGGAAAATGATGGCCATCGCCAGAAAAATGAGGGGTTGTATTATCTTTGAAAAGAGGGTCGGCCTAAAATCTAAAAATTGACTATGATCATCATTGTTTCGAGTTTTTTGGTATTTTTTAAGGACACGATCATGTTTTTGAAGTTTTCACGGCTGTTGAAACCACCAAGCAAGTTAAAACTCACATCAAATCCACCATAGTTAGCTAAGTTGGTGCAAATTTTGGTACGATAACTATGGTTTATGGTAGACAGCTCGAACTTCACTGGATAGACCAACTTCCTTTGAGTCCTTATAAACTCCATTAAGTACTTATCAACCATACTCCAACTTCCATTAACTATATCCATTAACTATAAGCCCGTGAAAAGTGGTTCATTTCACAGAAACCCAACATTTTTGGACCGACTCCAACTTCCATCCACGAGAAAACCACGTGTTTTTTTTTCAATACAGAAACTGGTTGGTGGTTTGGAACATGAATTTTATTTTCCATAATATATATTTGGATGTAATCCTTCTCATTGATGGTTTAACCATTTACCAACTCATATTTTTCAAGATGGGCACATTGCACCGCCAACCATATATTATAATCCCATCATATACACATCTTAAAAAAACCACTATTATTGCTATTATAACCACCTATTCTTATGATGGGCACATTGCACCACCACCAACCACAGAAACTCCTCCCCCGAAACCTCCGGGGAAGGCTTCTCCTTCGCGGCCGCAATGCACCGACGCTACGGGCGAATGGCCACCGTCTGGAGCCATGGGGAGAGATTTCCAGCACGAAACCAGCCGGTCGGGGTTTCAATAGGGAAACCCCTATGAAACCCCTATGAAATCACTATGAGGGGATGAAACCCCTATTGAAAGCCCTATTTTCATGAACATGAATATATATATATATATACATATATACATATATATATATACATATATATATATATTATATATATATATATATATAGGTTGAAAGCCCTGCTGTTCATGGAAAATGAATGAACATGAATCTGGTTGGTGATGATCTACAGTAACTTAGTAGCATTCATCTACCATTGGTCTAACTACCTAACTACCATTACTGGTTGGTGGTTTCGAACTGGTTGGTGGTTTTCCATATATTGAGGATAATACTAACAATACTCCCCACTGACTTTCACGAACTCATATTTTTCAGAGGGGTAGGTCAACCACCAACCAGTGAATGAAAATCATAGGTTTTCACCAAGAAATATGGAGCAAATATACTTTTTTTGGGGGGGATTTATTGGGATTGGGGGATTTTCCAAGGGTTTTCATTGTGATTTTTAGATATGGGATTTCACCAATGGATCTGCTGAGTCATTTGGAATGGAGATAGGAAGGGATGTGAGATTTAACATATTTAACCAGCAACAAGAGGTTTCATTGGGGATAATGCTGATACAATCGAGATATAATCCCAATCCTTTTTCATGGGTTTTAAGTAAAATCATATATATATATATTCAATTATATGCTGGTTATACGGTTATACAATCCTTTTTCATGGCTTTTAAGTAACATGTTATTTTTTTTAATTATATAGTGGTTATACCAACTATACTGGGGTATTCATGGGAATTATCCTCTCGTTATTTGATGCCTTGCGAACTGGAAGCCATGGCCCATGGATAATTCGCTGATTTATGATGATTTACCGTCCATGTTTCCATAGATGGATGAATGGGGATGAATGGGAATGAATGGGGATGAGTGAGAATGAATGTGGATAGGGATCATCAAACAATATCTATCTTGTGGCATTCATAGGATACAACAATAATGGTGGTATAGTGATGTATAGTGATGATGCTGGAAGATTCTTGAGCTAGTCCAAGTCCAAAAAGAGTTATGGTCATAGAGACATGGGAGATAACTGCATTAAGCATCCATGATATAATATATATATATATCTCCCATTAAACATCATTGAACATCCACTCATATTCTGTTAAGAATCCATTAGTATATCCCATGAAACTTAAAATAGACTTAAGAAAGGGATGGCGAGACTCGTCGCTGCGCCAGCTTGAGGTCTTCCGAGTGGAAAGAATCATGGTCACGTGGGGCTTCAAAATTTGGGTGCCTTGGCAAAAATGTGGAGAAGCGGCTGACAACCCCTGTTGGCGCTTTTTGTTTCCTTACACCATGCTACCTTATTGTATATCACTGTATGGATTACCTTCGGGTAAACTGACATAGCGAACTGGACAATCACCAGTCTTACCCTCTGGTAATTTAACAGTTTGCTATTGAAAATGGCCCAGTCGAAATAGTGGATTTACCCATTGATAGCATGGTGGATCTTTCCAGTTCGTTATGTAAACGTTTACCAGGCCGGGTAATAGGTAAATCATCTAGTTTTTTTTCCCATCATATACCCATCATTTAACCACTATTATAAACTATTATTGGTATTAAAGCATACCCATCAACTAGTTTAGCTAATCATCATTTTACCCATCATCTAGTTTATAGTCCCTAGGTAAATCATATACCCATCATTTAACCACTATTATTGGTATTTTAACCACTATTATTATGATGGTTTACTGGAGCTGACTGGATTTTTCTCCATGGGGAATCCATAGGAATCCATAGGTTAGCGGCTAAGCCAGTTCAGCTTGATCTACTGAGAGGATTCCATGATACATGTTGGAACATTGGACAATTATCTATGGTAATATTATTAAACGATAGTGATATCATGGTAATATATGGTAATATATGGTAATATATGGTAATATATGGTAATATAAGTAATATATGGTAATATATGGTAATATATGGTAATATATGGTAATATATGGTAATATACATACTGGTTGGTGGTGACTGGAACCATGGAATTTTGAATGACTTTCCAGAAACAGTTCGGAATGGAATAATGATCCCAAGTGACGAAGTCCATCAACAACCAGGTTGGAACGTTGTTTGTTGATGTTTCCCTCTGGTAAACGTTTACATAACTATGGAAAAATCACAGTGTTTAATGGCTAAATCAACTATTCCTTTGGCCATTTTCACTAGCAAACTGTTAGTTTGCCAGAGGGTTGTTGGCAATTTCCCAACGGTATAGCTTTGCCTGAAAAAAAAACATAAACCATCCCATGGTTTACCACCATGAAATCAGGGATGGATTGTCACCAGGCAACACGTGCTACATGAACGCGGCAATTCAATGTGCAGACCTCAGAGGTTGGGACGTTGGGTCAAAGAAAATTGGCTTTTTTGAGGTGTTTGTGCTGATGAATTAAAACTAGTTCATTTGATGATTCGTTTGATGTTTCGTTATATTTCGTTATTATAATATAATATATATATATATACATGTATGTATGTATACACACTATTTATAATATACACACTTTCTATATATATATATTATACTATTTAGATATTATATATATATATATTCAACTGTGGGGCACCGCCATGTGGAAGTTTGACATGTGACCAAAATGGTGAAACTGTGGAAATCAATTGGAGATTAAGTGGATTGGAGATGACATATAATATAGTGGTAGATGTGTAAATATATATTATTGGGTAGATGACATATAGTGGCAGAGTGAATCTACCACATATATACCACTATATGTCTATTATGTCATCTGCCACTATACGTCATCCACTTCTGATGGATGACATATGATTATTATATTCAATGGTCATTCCAGGATCCTAAAGTGGAGGCACTGTACCATATTTCTAACTCATTCTGGGGGTATATCCCCTTACATAGGCCTAACAAGTAGGCCTAAAATATATGGTAGGTACCTCCAATTTCGATTTCGGTTCCTGAAATAGCCAAATATCTACACAATATACCAACTATTTGACATTTCGTGGATTTCATATGACATTAAGTGGATTATGATAGGGAGTGAAGTATCATCCGTTGTGGGAAATCACGTTACCAACCAGGATTTCGTGGAGTGGTTTTGTTACGAAATCGCGAACACGTGGGGGCCACATAACTCCAATAAACCATGGTTTATGATACTTATAACTACAGTATTACAGTATTACAGTGCTTATAAACCACAGTTATAAGTATCAAACCTATAGTTTATAAATTACTATAGTGGGTTTAGTGGAATCATTTAACTATGGTTTATGATACTTTATATATATATATACTTAATATACTTATTACACATAGATCCTATGGTCAATGGGTTGGTTTTAGGGAAAATCGGAAAGACCCTTTTTTTTAATAGGAAAATCGATGGTTTCTAAAATTTTCCCTTCAACCAATCCAATCAAATGGGGGTTATTTTCCAACCGCCACCGCATCACCAACAAAGAAGCGAGGTTTGGTCCACTCGCCGCTGCTGCCGGACTATTTCATGTCCGAGTACCTCGGATCGCGATTAAACGAGCGATGGATCGGAGCGAGCGAATCTGCTGGGTCCCATAAAATTGGGTCCCAATCATCAGTTGTGGCCATCAAAAAATAAAGATAATGTGATAATATGGGATATCAATAGGGACAATATGAGGGATAATATGGGATAGTGAGGATAATGATGATCAATCTCAATCAAGTTCATGTTTTTGATGATGTTTTTTCCAGATATTTTTGCAGACAAAGGCATATATATATATATATATAATTACCAGCTATTTTGCTGTAAATAGTCCATTTAAACAAAGGCCTGTGGCAACCTTCGGCTCGGCAACGAGGTACAAGTTGGATGTCAATCCCAACAGCAAGTTCGGCATGGTTGGAGCCCTAGAGGATCCTTTTTTAGGGACGGGTAAGTCGGATGGACATGGTATACCGACCATTGAGTTGAGGCAGTTTGGTATGACCATGTACCCTCTGGTAAACTAACATAGCTGTGGAACATCACAATTTTCTAGCTGGGTAAATCCACTATTTCGACTGGGCCATGTTCAATAGCAAACTGTTAGTTTACCAGAGGGTATGACCATTATTGATGAATTGAACAGTTAATGGTGAAATGGGGATTTCCATGGGGATACTTACCCCAATAGCTCGCTGGATGGTAAAAAAATCAGAAGGACAATCCATCTTTGAATGGATGATGCGGTTACCCCCATGTTAGAAAACTTCCAAATTACCCTCTGGTAAACATACAAAAAACTATGGAAAATCACCATTTTTAATGGGAAAACTCACTATAAATAGCCATTTTCAATAGCTATGTTAAATTACCAGAGGGTATGTTAAACCTGAATCATTCTTAAGTATCCAGTGCTTGGAGCGGTGAAGTTTTTTTTTCGGGATCTATAGCTATGCATAATCCCAATGAAATGGTGAGCCATCGAGCGAGAGTTTCACAACCGCATCATAGATTGAATCTCGCGGCGAAGGAATTCTTCGTCTACTATGGGTTCGCCTTGAAAATTCTTCATGGTTTGTCAAGACTTTCATTCGAAAACATGAGTTGACAATAATCCTACTGCTATGATTCAGATCCCTCTCTAAAATTCCCTTTGGATACCTTCCTAAGATTCGTTGGTGCGTCAACCCTCCAGGAATTTGTGGGGGATTGATTCCAGCCCTCTGATGTCATTAAGCATGGCTGGATATCCGTTTACAGGGACTCCCCATGGCCAGCCAGAAAAATGTACTGTAATTACATTTATCCGTTCTATTCCTTTTGTATTTTTCACAATCCCACATGCAAAAGCAATAAGTATTAAAATTATCATTATTAGACGCATAAAATCATCCCAATCAATAATAAGATTGTCATAATTAACATGTAGCAGTATCCCACTTGTAATAATTATAACACCATCCCACTCTTACATCATCATTATCCCCAACAACAAAAACATTGTTTTATCATTAACCTTGTTTATGTATGTTAATATTAACATTATGTTACTAACAGTATCATTATTAGTACAACATCATCCCACTCAAAAAAACACATGGTATAACAAGTATAGAATCATCCCAGTCTTACTAATATTATCCCATAATTAACATAGGAAGGGTGGGACAACCCAGTGAAACTAACATTATCCCTATATATAGTTGAGATAATTTTCCTGGGATGATTAATTAACTGGGATGATTAACATAGTCTTACTAAGAGTAATGGACTGTAATAATTAGTTAATATTACTAACATTATCCCATAAAACATGTTATCCCCATTATCCCAATAATCAACATTATCCCATTGTTATACTTTTTGGGATTATTGTTAATTATCCAATTATCCAATTAATGGACAATTGATAATTGTATAATCTATTTGTTGAATATTAACTATCATTGTTTTGTCCATTATTGAGTATTCACATTATCCCAATAATTATTTCCATTATCCCCATTATCCCCAGTATCCCATTGACACTACCCTCTGGTGATTAAACATAGCTATTGAAAATGGCCCATAGAAATAGTTGATTTACCCACTAGAACTGGTGATTTTCAACACTTATGTTAGTTTACCAGAGGGTAACCATCATTTGATCACGGGATAAAAAAAAAACTGGGTTAAATATGTCTTCTTAGTCATGGATTATTAGTTATGGGGTTTAAGATGATCATTAAGCCATCAAGCATACTTTACCAGAGGGTAACCCCAGTCTTACTAACATTATCCCATAAAACATGATCCCATGGCTTTTATCCATAGTTATCCCAGGGTAAACCTCCATTTTCCTATGTTTTTCCTATGCTTTTCCTATGGATCCCATGGTGTTTTTGTTGGGGGAAGCATCATCCCATCCCTTGGGATCCGGATCCCCCGGAGGCCGGAAAGCTGGCGGTGGCCTTCGCGGAGCTGCTCCTGGAGATCCAAAACGCGCGGAGTGCAGGTGGGGGCTGGAGATGGGCATATACCCTCTGGTAAACATACAAAAAACTATGGAAAATCCATGAAAATCACCATTTTTCATGGGAAAATCCACTATTTCTATGGCCATTTCCAATAGCTATGTTAAATTACCAGAGGGTACAAGTACCATAAACCATCGTGAAATTGGAGTTATAAACCACCTGCACTGGGGACTTCTTAACATCAAAGTCTGGAGAATTTCACTAACAAAATTAGACTTAAATGATGATGAAAGAACAACATAAAACTATGGGAGGAAAAGTATGTGGACACTATGTAGTTATGTATATATATATATATCTATATGTATATATAAGGGTAAAAAAAAGGGATAACAACAGGGATAGAATGGGATCCACCCATTCCGCATGGGATCCTGCTCCAGGATCCAACGTGGTGGCTCCTCGGGACTTCAAACGAATCTTCTCCGACTTCAAACCTCAGTTTGCTGGCTGGAAACAGCAGGATCCGATAAAATGGGTGATGTCCGGGGAGTTCACCCAGTGCACCATGCAATGTGGGGCCCCCCAGTTATAAGATGGTTAACAAAAACCCCATGAATACTATAGTTATAGGTACCATAAACCATAGTGAAATTGGAGTTATGTTCACCAACTGAACGCTATCGTGGCCGGGGGCCCCACTTTGCTGTTGTAGTGGAGATTTTACCCAACATGGTGAGCAAGAAACATGATGGTTTAACCGAGATTAACCCAGGTCAGATGGGAATTCGGGCTAGCCCAAAACCTCAATTTTGATCATGGTTGTTTTTCGTTCGGAGAATCATAGATTATATAGATTTGTGTATCGCCCATCTTTGGGCAAAACCAGATGACGAAAAGTGTGTCTGGAAATTCGATATTGTCCAGCTGATGTAGATAAATCATTGTATATCCATGTCAGTGGCGGAAACCAGGCCGCCAAAATATGTTGTCACTTTAGCTTCCATTTTGTTCAATCACGAGCTTCATCACGATGTTCTTCAAGGGCAAAGTGTTAAACGTGCTCAAGGCTGGCATGATTTGCAGATGCCAATCCATTTGTAAGGCCATTTGATGATAAAAAATCAATTTTCATTTCTGATCATCTTAAATCCGACGAATGATAAAAACTATCCTAAATCATCTTAAATCATTCTTCTTGTCATCTTAAATCCCATTTCATTTCTTATCATATTAAATCCCAGTGAGAAATGATCAAAACTATGCTTAATGATGGCTGCATCATCATCTTAAACCCCATGACTAATAATCCCATGACTGATAAGACATATTTGACCCATTTTATCCCATGATCAAATCTGGTTGGTGGTTTGGAACATTTTTTCCATATATTGGGAATAATCATTCCAACTGACGAATTCATATTTTTCAGAGGGGTAGGTCAACCACCAACCAGTATCCCATGATCAAATGATGGTATGTTCATTTTCAATAGCTATTTGACATTTGCCCAGAGGGTAAACCTCCATTTTCCTATGCTTTTCCTATGCTTTTCCTATGGTTTTCCTATGGTTTTCCTATGGTTTTCCTATGGTTTTCCTATGGATCCTATGATCAAATGATGATCAAATGACTGGTGAGACGTCTCACAGGACGCCCAGGAGTTCCTCTCGATGTTCTTGGCTGGGCTCAGCGACATGGCTGGGAAAAGCAGACGGAAGAATGGTGGTTTAATATGGTTTGATATGGTTTAATTAGGGAAGACATAAATGAGACAATGTAAATATGGTGGATTGAAAAATTGTTTAATTATGGAGAATTATCTATAAATGAACATGTTCCATTGCTATGTTTGATTACTGGAAGGTGCATGATGAACATTTTTGCAACTGAGAAAGATTTCACCATCAAAACGAAGATACAATTTTCCGAGTGCCCGCAAGCTACTCTCACAAAATTACCTGACAGAATTGGCATATCCTGCCAATTGGCAGCATCAACCATCATTTTCTTTTGACATCAATCTCTGCAATCAACAGGAGCCACACATTGAAGGAGATGTCAGTATTCAGTGTTGACCAAAAAAGCGACTATTCATTGTTTAAAAATCAACATCTGGTTGGTGGTTTGGAACATGAATTTTCTTTGTCCATATATTGGGAATAGTAATCCCAACTGACTTACTCATATTTTTGAGAGGGTAGGTCAACCACCAACCAGACATTGACTTTACCGAGACGGTGGCGGTTGCTGGAGATTCATATTTCTCCGGCAGCGAAGTTGGTGCAGTCACTAGGTTGACTATGGTCAATAAACCAATAAAGCATTTGTAAATGGTTATATAACCATTGTGAAACCACAGTTAATGATATGTTTTTTTTTTTAAAAAAACTATGATAGATATATGTAGATATCTAAAGTTATTGTAGAAGTTAACATTTAATACCCATGTGGTTAATATTGTTTCGTTTAGTATGGTAGATTTAATAACAATGGTTAATATTTTTCTTAACTATGGTAGTTTTAATGACCATGGTTAATAAACCATATTATCACATAATAAACAACAGTTAATATATCTGAAGATCTGAAGTTCATGGAGCTTAATTCGCCATGCGCTTCATCCATGGGCCAGACTCTGGGAGGTGCAGAAGTTCCAGTCACTAGTAGTTGGTTCGATTATCATCGCTGTAGGGGGTTACAATATATATATATATATATATGCATGACTATAATTATGAAGGTTTCGAAGGTTAATATATCTATATATACTAACTAATTATCTCATATCCCATAATTATGGTGGTGAATACAATTATGTATTAGTAGTTGGTTATCCCAACTTATGGGGAGTCAACAAAATCCCATGAAAAAAAAACATCGACAATCCCAGAACTATCTCATAGGATCTCCCAGAACAATCCAAACCATTTCATGAAATATCCATGAAAATTCTTGCTCACATAAATTCTAACCATCATCAATATGAAGATCCGAAAACTATTTCAAAGTGGAAAAGATCACGCTTAATTTTATCCAATTTGCCAATCATTTCGTGCCATCCAACTGGCTTTTCTACACCGTCGATCCTCCGTTCCGGGGCCTCCGGGGCCGAGGCGAAGATGTGAACCGCACCACCCAGAAACCCTACCGAGAACTGAAAGATTCTGAGGGACGGCCGGATGAGGAGGTGCTGGTAGCAGATCTCATCCAATTTCCCTAAGAATAGGGCATGATTTATATTACCCTCTGGTAAACTAACATAGCTATTGAAAATGGCCATTTATAGTGGATTTACCCATTAAAAATGGTGACTTTCCATAGCTATGTTAAATTACCAGAGGGTACATATTGATATATATATATATATTGCATCCAATTCCCAAGAAAAAAATCTGGGCTTCACTTTGGAGATGCTGGTTTAAGCATGATAAGAATCGATGCTTTCCATGGGATACCCTCTGGTAATTTGTCACAGTTCACTATTGAAAATGACCCAGTCGAAATAGTGGATTTTCCCAGCTATAACATGGTGGATATTGCTATCGTTTTTTGTAAACCTTTACCAGGCCGGGTAAACTTCCATTTTCCTATGGGTTTTCCTATGGTTTTCCTATGGTTTTCCCATTAAAAACATCCATTTTGGGTTGGATTATCAACTACAAACCGGGCTATGGCTTTCAATACCAGCGCCATGTTTTCACGGGACTCGGATGGGCCCAACGGGCCCCGAAAGTCATCCAGTCGGTCATCAAGCCAATAGGTTTCACCATAGGAAAACCATAGGAAAACGATAGGAAAAGCATAGGAAAATGGAGGTTTACCTGGGCAAATGTCAAATAGCGAACTGGAAAATGGCCCACAGACATAGTTGATTTACCGAACTTAAGGATGGGTGGATTTTCTATAGCTATGTAAACGTTTACCAGAGGGTAGGCTTCACCACCAGCCAATCCGATGACTAGTGAATAGACGAAGCTGTCATGCTTTTCAATGTGAAACCAGTTTTCGAATTCTGTTTTTGAAGTCGAATTGCTGATCTTTGTGAAGCTGTCATGTTTTTTTCGGGAGAAGAGATGAGGCAGTTTCTTCCAAAGTTGGCGCTTTGTAAAATTGAAGATATGCTGAAAACTCGGGACCTCAAGATTCATCCAAAGTTGGTACTTTTCTAGTGACAACAATGTTTTCCGGTGTATTACAATTTGAGAAACACGATTGGATTGAAGAATGCTTCGGCTAGCTTTTGGGGGTGTTTCGTTTCCGCTTGGTCTATGCCCTGGCATGTTCTTGGCATCTAAGATTCTTTTCGTGCTATGAAGGTGGATGATGCTGGAGTTTTTGAGGCAGTTTATGATTTTATTCTCATGATTATCGTTGATTACCACTATCATCACTATAACCGTCATCGTCATCATCAGCATAATCAGCACCATAGTCACCATCTATCTATCTAAATCTAAATCTAAATCTGAATCTGAATCTAAATCTAAACCTACATCTAATCTAAATCTAATCTCCAATCCTATCTATCTATCTATCTATCTATCTATCTATCTATCTATCTATCTATCTATCTATCTATCTATCTATCTATCTATCTATCTATCTATCTACTTATCTACCTATCTACCTATCTACCTATCTACCTATCTGTCTGTCTATCTTTCTATCTTTCTATCTTTCTATCTTTCTATCTTTCTTTCTATCTATTCTATCTATTCTATCTATTCTATCTATCTATATATCAATCTATTCTAATCTAATCTAACCGATTCTAATCTAATCTAGTCTAATCTAAGCCTATCTAACCCTATCTAATCCTATCTAATCCTATCTATCTATCTATCTATCTGTCTGTCTATCTATCTTTCTATATTTTTATCTTATCTATCTTATCTATCTTATCTATCTATCTATCTTTCTTATCTAATCTATCTAATCTATCTTATCTTATCTTATCTTATCTTATCTTATCTATCTATCTATCTATCTATCTATCTATCTATCTATCTAGTTTATTATGTGTATATATAGATATATATATCCTCATGAAATATCACCACATATATATATATATATATACGCATACGCACATACCCATCTAATCCCATGATTTTCCCATGAAATCTCCATCTCACAAACCTTGGCTCGCGCCAGGTGGCCTCAGAGTACTGGCAATCGCACTGCCAGAGGGAGGTGAGAAAATGGGGCGAAGGATTGCTAAAAAAATGGGGATTTTCCCATGACTTTAGCCCAAAAATGCTGGTTTAAATGGGGTTTAATTTTATCGGATTCGACATCAATGGCATATGGGGATCATACGGGGATATAGGTAAAGTATGGTAAAGTGGTAGAGTTTCACCATCAATGTTAGCTGGCTTTATATGCATATAGTGGGTTAAAAATCAGATGTAGTGGGGATTATATGTGGATCGAGTAGGGATATAATAGGAATATGATTAGTAGCCCATACAATGTGGGACATTCAGCATCAATGGCATTGAACCAACAGAATGGTGGTTCAGTTGGGATATAAGGGGGGGATGTAATGCGGAACTCATCTCTAAAAAGGACTACCATGGGATATCCAGCCAAGTTGATATAATTAACCATCAATGTATGGAGATAAATCCACTATGTAATATCAGGGGTAATTAACCATCAATATATGATAAGTCCGCTACTTATGAAATCTGTAGATAGTATGTTTGTACTTTTTGGGTTCCTTAAGCAAATCCAAGATAATTAAACTATGGGGGTATAGCTGCTATAACCAACAAAAATGGATGCAGAATGGGTCCACAATGGATATACAATGAAATATAACAATATCATGGACGATGAAGATTGAGTACGATGTTTGGGAATATAATAGGTATCAACAACTTGGTATTCAAGACATATCCAAAATTGGAGGCTTGTCATTGGGTTTAGCACAGTATATATATTTTTGCTATGGTGGGACCCACCAGCACATAACACCGGTGAAAACCAGGATGTAATGTTTGATCGTGATATTTCCCAATATATTGTATAATCCTTTACTATTCACCACTATTTTACTGGGATTGTATTATACATATATATATATATGGTATATTACATAATAAATATAATACTATATATATATATGGTATATTACATAATAAATATAATACTATATATATATATATACATATTACATATTACATACTATATATAATACAGTATATATATATATTACATACTACATTATATATACATACATACTATAATTCTTTACTGGGATTGTATTAAGTATATACCATTTATTTATACGTATATATATATAGACTATTCACCACTTGTAATTCATCACCCCACTAATGATGATGGTCTACTGATAATATTCCATTTAAGATCATTACCCCCTGTACATATATATATATAATATACGATGATAATCACCTCCCAAACTATATATAGAAACATTTACTGTTCACCAATCCTATTTCAATTCCTATCCCTCCGAATAGATCTTAAAATCCCTTCAGTAGCTTATATTAGTAGCTAATATTGGTAGTTGTTAACATTAGTAGCTAGCTTTTGTTGTATATACTCATATTATCATATACTACTGGTTGGTGGTTTGGAACATTTTTATGACTTTCCATATTAATTGGGAATGTCATCATCCCAACTGACTTTCATATTTTTCAGAGGGGTAGGTCAACCACCAATCAGATTATATTCCAATGATATTCCCAGCATATTCCCATTCGATCACCTAGATCACCCAATAATCTTCAAAATTACCGTCGTTTCTTAGACCCTGGTGATCACTAATCTAAGAATGGGTTGATTTTCCATCCTATCACCTAGAAAACAACCCATTCTTAGCACTAATCGTAAAACAGCCTCGAAAATTATGCCAGGGTCGAATCGGTATCCGTAATGGATGACTAAGATAGTTAACATTAATTAAGGGTATTATATCCATATTAACCATTAATTATCCATTAATTATCCATTAGTTATCCATATTAATATTCACCATCTTCACCATATTCACCGTAATTACCATATAGATAGATAGATAGATAGATTGACAGATTGATAGATTGATAGATTGATAGATTAGATAGATAGGATTAGTCAGATAGGATTAGATAAATAGGATTAGATAGATAGGATTAGATAGATAGGATTAGATAGGATTAGATGGATAGCATTAGATGGATAGGATTAGATGGATAGGATTAGATAGATAGATAGATAGACAGATAGATAGATAGATAGGATTAGATAGATAGATAGGATTAGATAGATAGATAGGATTAGATAGATAGATAGGATTAGATAAATAGATAGATAGATAGATAGATAGATAGATAGGATAGATAGGATTAGATAGATAGATAGATAGATAGATAGATAGGATTAGATGGATAGATAGATAGATAGATAGATAGATAGATAGGTAGATTAGATAGATTAGATAGATTAGATAGATTAGACAGATTAGACAGATTAGATAGATTAGATAGATTAGATAGAATAGATAGATTAGATAGATTAGATAGATTAGATAGATTCGATAGATCAGATAGATTAGATTCGACAGATTAGATTGCTTAGATAGATTAGATAGACTAGATAGATTAGATAGATAGGTAGATTAGATAGATTAGATAGATTAGATAGAATAGATAGATTAGATAGAATAGATAGATTAGATAGATTAGATAGATTCGATAGATCAGATAGATTAGATTCGATAGATTACATTGCTTAGATAGATTAGATAGATTAGATAGATTAGACAGATTAGATAGATTAGATAGATTAGATAGATTAGATAGAATAGATAGATTAGATAGAATAGATAGATTAGATAGATTAGATAGATTCGATAGATCAGATAGATTAGATTGATTAGATAGATTAGATTGATTAGATAGATTAGATAGATTAGATAGATTAGATAGATTAGATAGATTAGATAGATTAGATAGATTAGATCGATTAGATCGACTAGACAGATTAGATAGATTTGATAGATTAGATAGATTAGATAGATTAGATAGATTAGATATATTAGATAGATTAGACAGATTAGATATATTAGATAGATTAGACAGATTAGATAAATCAGATAGATTAGATAGATTAGATAAATCAGATAGATTAGATAGATTAGATAGATTAGATAGATTAGATAAATCAGATAGATCAGATAGATTAGACAGATCTTATCCATATCAATATGATCCATAAACCCATCGTCCTTGCCCTCGTTCCGGCCCTTTTTCTCGCCAGCGCTCCGCCGTGGCGGCGCTCTTCAGCGGCCAGTTCCGCTCGGTGCTGCGCTGCAAAGGCTGCGGCGCGGAGGCCCAAGGTGCCGTTGACGGTGGAATCTGCAGCAACTTGCGATTTTTCAATTTTTTTGGATGGGGATTTGAAAGGATTTTTTTATGGGACTTTATAGGGACTTTATAGGGATTTGATAGGATTTTTTTATGGGACTTCATAGGGACTTTATAGGGATTTGATAGGATTTTTTTATGGGATTTTATAGGGATTTGATGGGATTTGATAGGTTTTTTTTTGGATTTGATCGGATTTTTGATGGGGATTTTTGATAGGGGATGTATTGGGATGTTGATCGTCCTGAGGTCGTTGGAATCCGATTTCGGCTGGCCATAGGGCTCTGCTGTTGTGTGTTGTGCGCCTTAATTCAGCCAGATTCATGGAAATCCCGTTGGATTTTACTCTGTTGATGGAATTCAATGGGATGTGAATGAAAGGTGTAACTGCTTCATATTTAATGTACGTGCTTTAATGGATCTACCCTCCGGTAATTTAACATAGCTATTGAAAATGGCCATTTATAGTGGATTTACCTATTAAAAATGGTGGTTTTCCATAGCTATGTTAGTTTACCAGAGGGTATATATCCCAATGCCAACCAAAAATAGGAATTTCATGGACTAATGGGTATACAACCAAAAAATATAGGGATCTGATGGGATACAATTGGATATTCAAACATCAAATTGGGATTTAACTATCAAAAACTGGTAGTTTGATGTGATATTTTACTGGGATTTCAACATCAAGCTAGTGGAAACTACATCATTCAAATCATTCAATGGCAATGTTTTATCAGTGCAACTGATGATGAACCATCACAGACACACCCACTCTCCAACAGTTATCAGAACAAAACCAGGCTCTCCAACTGTTTACCCATCCCGGTGAGATTTTACAGTTTTGAAGGGGTCAACCATCACTGATTTGGTGTCCAGCTATTGTTTTCTCCAGGAGTCGTTAGCTCCAAAGAATGTGATGTTTATATATTGTTTATTTATATGTTTACTTGATTTTACTTGTATATATATATATAAATATGTATATATATATGTATAATATATATATATTATATATGTTTAAAGTTTGTTTCCACAAAAATCTGTGAACCGATCCGCCTACCATGAAAGCGCCATTGTCGTTGTCAGCGGCCCTGGCGCGGAGCTCAGTTCCACCCGAGGCTACACGAACCACTCCTTCGAAGCCTTCAGTTTCCTGCCGATTCCCATCCCGGAGCACTCCTATCGTCCGGGCACCCAGGGAATCCACGGTGGAATCCACGGTGTCATGGGACGGGGCTTGAAAACATGAAAGATCTGGGTGTGATCAGATAGCGTATGGAACTATAGACGCATATTGTTGTGTTTTTTTTTTAACCTATAGTACAGAAATGTATTAAAACCATCTTTGATATTTCCATGTTTGTTGATATCTAGAATCTAGACTTACATATTATATATGTCTTGCAGCTAGGCCGTTTTTTTTTCCGCATTGCTGCGGACACGTCTCCATGACAACATTTTTTCATCAGCGATGCCCTTTTTTTGGGGGATTCACTTGGTAGTACAGCTTGAACTTTTGACAATTTTGAACTAGAAATCATCTAGAACATCGTGAAAACAACATGTATAAGCGTGTTTTGAGAGGAGGCGGTATAGTATGGGGTTGTGATTTCCCATTTAACGATGCCACCTTTATTTTTGTTGCATCGATATATGTGGCGTATGGCACTTGAAGATCCGGTAGTGCTGGATTTTGGTGTGCCAGATGGTAGTAAGTGGTTAATATATGTTAATATCTATATACGACATTTATAATGTGTTTTCTATCCCCAGTCATAGATGGTGTTTATACACACTGTATATATATATTATCATCCTGGAGTAGATAGAATATATATATATATATACACATATTTTTACATTCACAGTAGAATAGGACTATCTTTGAAAATTCCATATTCTATCTACTCCAGGATAATAATATGTATATATATATATATACACGTATACCATTACATCCCTATTTTATGGCAGTTGCATTCATAATAATATTGAAAAAACAATGAAATCCTGTTCTATCCACTTCAGGATGATTATATCCGCACCCCAGAACTACAATGTGCCCCATAGGAAAATATACAGGCTATTAACCACTTGAGCAGTGGCTGCTAAACCCCTGTTGCTTGATGATTGTTTGAGATTATACTATCCAATATATTGGGGATTATCTAAATCCATTATGATAATCCCCTGTGAACCAGGCAGTATAAAGGTTTCTGCAGACTTCTCATTCAATCACAGATATTGGTTAAGCGGCATATATCAACCATATATCAACCATATATCATCCATATATCATCCATATATCATCCATATCCCCACATGTTGTCCCTTAGTCCCACGACTCAAAGCTATCAAAGGATGGGTCACTTGTATGGTCGTGAGTGCTTCACGTGTGGAGTCCTGGGTGGAAATCGGTGTGGAAAAGGTAGGGAAAGCATATGAAAGTATGGAAAAAGATGGAACAATGTCAGTTTGCATGGAAAATATGGGAATATATTGTTAAAATATGCGAGCATGTGGGAAATATTCTAATAGAACATATAACATGGGGATATTTGTTTTGATTTTGACACAGTGTAAGTTAATTGAAAGGTGGGAAAGGAATGGGTGAACATCTGGGGAAGCGCGGATAAGTTGAGACCATCCAGAAATCCAATCTCGCGATGCATGGATATGACTTGAGCTACAGTGACGTATGATGATAATGATGATGATGATGAAGATGAAATAGACATCATGTAAAAATGGCCCTTGAATCGCGAGATTCCAGGAATTACGTAATCTTTAATAGGCAGCCAGATTGTAGGTGTCGGTTCCATGGGGGTTTTAAGCCATCTTCTTGATTTTCTTGGTTGTTTCCATTTGCATCCATGCATCCATACATACATCCATGCATCCATGCATCCATCCATAGATACTGACTTGTACAATTTTCATTTTTGCATATTCACACAATCCTACATATAGATGGATGGTGAATATGTACTGGTAGGCAGATGGACGAACAGACAGAAATACAGAGATCGTGATTACTAGTGGCATCCTCCCTCCCTCCCCATTTTTGTCACTCACCAATCTCCGGCAGCCCAGGCCCACCTGCGCAACACATTACTCGTGTCAGGGCCTGCGTAGATGGGTAGACGGAGATGAATCAGGGCCTGGTCGATGATGAATTAAGACAAATCCCCTTACTTCGCTCAATTTCTTGGGTGATTCTCAGGGTTCCGCTTAAGATATACAGTAATTAATCCAGTTGATTTCTTTCTTGGTTCCTTTAGGGAGATTATAATGCCAAACAGGTGGTGGGGTGCTAATCATAAATTGGGGCTCCTTCTGTGTGATTTTACAATGATTTAAGCATAATCAGCATTAAGATCGTAACGGGCGGGATTTAATTTAAGGCCTAGTTATGCAATCCCGGTGATGTACTTTATTGGGCTTTGCCAAAAGGCTAAGGAGGCCTATATAACCATCAATAATGGAACTTAACATGATTTCAGTGTGCGAACCTTGGATGGCGTAGATATCAATAGGTGATTTAGCATCAAAAAATGCGAAATCCCATCGCTACACAGTGTCCGTGGGTCGTGAAATGATCAAATGCTTTGTTTTTGGGCCCACGACCGAGATCTGTGCTGACCACAACTATGGTAATAAGCCAAGTACACATAGTTATAGCCCAGGTATGTACGTATGTGTGTGTCATAAAACTAAATAATTACTAAATATATATATATATATAATTATATAATATCATATTATATATTATATTATCTCTGATTACTACCCATGCATGCAGCAAATCCATGATGGTTTGGATTCTGCGTCTTTCACCTGTCCATTCCCATGTCCATTCCCACGTGGTTCCAATGGCCAGGTGTGTGCGCGAGTGCCGAAGCAGGGCAATATCAACGACCTGTTGGAAGCAGACGACTGAGAAAGCCGAAGACCGGATGGGTCTTACAACATATCAATGGCCTATGTAAGGGAATATCCCCACAAAATATGGCCTTAAATGGTACAGTACCTCCGTTTTCGGATCCTGAAATTCCCATTGAACATGGGGTTTGTCTTATAAGACAATGAGGGTAAGATTAGACCCATTAAAAAGTCATATTAGACAAACCATAAAAAGGTCATATTTGTCTCCTATGATACCCCCGAAACCTAACAGTCTAGCATCATTTACCCCATTAAACCAGCCTTTGGAGGGTATAATTCTTTATCAATCATCATGTTCCCTCTTAGATTCGCAATTTATGGGGTATATATATATATGGTGTGTGGTATACCTCATGTTCAGTCAAACCTTTGTAAGTTTCAGATAATTGGTATGTAAACGCATGTATAGAAAGGAATACTTATATGCATCATATTTCTGTATCTATAAATATACGTATCATAGTATGTAGATTATACGACAGAAAGAGTTACATTTAGCATTTACAAAGGATATGTGTCAGAATTGGGGATCATCAATAATGAGGTATATCATACACAAATGACAAAAATATCCAAAATCTGGCCACCCCATTTCGAACATTGTTTTTCTACATACTTGGTGAATGATGATGTTCCCAACCAATTGCCATCATGTTTGGGTCCATTTTACCATTGGTAATCAAATCAGGCACGTGGTCATGTATGTTCATGTATGGATGAGTTGTTTCCATTTATTTAATATCAAACTAACATAGCTATGGTAAATCACCATCTTTAATTTTGGTAAATCAACTATTTCTATGGGCCATGGCTTCAATAGCTGACATGACCAGAGGGTAAACCTCCATTTTCCTATGGTTTTCCTATGGTTTTTAACCAATACCCAGTTGGCTTTTTCGTTGGTTCAAGCCTTACTTTTGCTGCCAAAAAAACAATCGAAAAAACCACGGTGATTCTTGAACCAATCAACTCACGCCGGCCGCGCCCTGCAGACTTAGATCCACTGACGGGAAATTTCAGG